CTGTAAATCCAGATTTATGTGCCAAGGGGGGGAAGGGGTGGCAGTGACTAGCTCCACCAGGTGTGAAGAATCCACTTCAGCAATAATACAATTCCACTTGACTTCCTTAGCAATTTTTAAGGCCCAGTAAAGAGCAGCAGCTTCTGATTCCAAAGCATCTTCTGCAATGTAGGGGGCCTTGAAATAAAGCAAAACTTTGCCAGTGTGATCTCTAAAAATACCTCCAATTCCAGCTTTTTTGTTTGTGAAGCTTCTATTAGTGTTTATTTTAATGAATGGTAAGGAGGCTTAGGGTGTTGAGTATCAATATTAGTCATAACCTTCAAAATTTGAGGGAACTTCTTCCAATTAATCAGCTTATGTAAATAGTCCTGGCACAGAAGAGAAGAGGCTTTAGGTTTATTTCTTGCCAGTCTCTCAAACTATCTTTTAAATTGCCCCAGCCCACTTTCAACAGGATCAGGTTACTGTTAGAGTTCAGCTTGTTCCAAACCTCCCTAGCAAAATTGCATCTTAAAAAGATTCTTGATTATTATTGCATAGATGACATCTTGAGGGGCCTTTCAATCTTTTCAGCTTCAATATGTCATCTGTTGGAATTAAATCAGTTAGGACTCTCCAAGAAAAGAACAACATAGAAGGAGTTAAGAATTTTTTTGCCATTACTAATATTCCACTTGCAATCTTCCCATCTGAATAGACTATTATATATGTCCTTTGAAATGCTGGATCTGGTTCTTTTAATTAGCTAAATTCAGTCATTTTTATTTCTATCAAATTTGATTTTAAAGATACTTCTAGCAGCAGAATCTTTTAGGATTTTGTTCAATGCATCCTCAGACCACTCATTGCCATTCCAACAGTCTTCAACCAGTAAATCTTCATCTTTTTCATTCTGAAGTGGCTCCAATTGATCAACAGGGCACCAGTTGTCCTTCCAGAAGTTGATCTCTCCCTTTCCCAGCTCCTAGATAAGATATTTGTCAATCTCCTCTCTTCCCTTAAGCATGGGTCCAAATCTTGGAGTCTCAAATCTTGGAGTCTCCAACCTTCTTAATAACATCTCTAGGGTGAGCATTTTTACAGTATTTTGCCATCATGAGATTAGCCCACAAGCTTTCATTTTATCTAAATTTGAGCCATAGTTTACACATGCTGATTTGCTGCATATGATGTAGACCTTTAAAACCCCAGCCTCCAGCTTCATAAGGTTTAGCCACTCTTTGCCAACTAGCCCAAATCATTTGCTTCCTGTTCCCAACCCAAAGAAATCTATTAAAGGTTCTCTCTAGCATCAAAGTGGTGCTTCTTTTCAAAGTAGCCATCTGAATGATGTATGAAGGGAAGGTAGAAAGTACATGCTTTAAGAGGGTAATTCTTCCTCCATTAGAAAGAAAAGAGTTTGTCTAGCTGTGAAGCTTTGTTTGAATCTTTGTCACCACTTCATCAAACTGAATTTGTCTAGTCGTACTTAATTGGGGGCCCAGTAATTAAAAAGAATGCTCATGGTAGAAAACCCTATGAATTTTTCCATCAACTGCCTGATTGGAATACGAACTCTCTTGCGTGTTAGAAATTGGCATTTTTCTTTATTAACTTTTAGCTCAGATACTTGTTGGAACTTGTTCAAACACTCATCAAGGTATCTAGTTGCACCCTTTGTAGCCCTTGTGAATATGAGGATGTCATCAGCATATATAAGGTGGCTTATATCCATCTTAGCTTTATTGTGATATACATTGAGCGTGTTCCTTTTCCCCTTGCCATCTATGAGTTTTGATAGGTAATCTAAGACCAGAATGAAAATAGTTGGGGAGAGAGGGTCACCTTGTTCAAGGCCTCTATTTTCTTGGAAAAAACCATGAGCTTTCCCATTTATGAGGTCTGAGTTGGAATTTGCCTCTAACCATCTTTTAATGGTCTGGCATAATTCCCTTGAGAATCCTCTAGCCTCCAAACATTCCATGTTAAATTCCCAATTTACCATATCATAAGCCTTCTTAGGGTCCAGTTTATAAATAACATTTCCTCCTCTGCAAGGTCTCTCCAAGTCTTGTAATAGTTCTTGAGCTAGTAATATTTGGTCCCCTATACTTCTCCCTTTCACAAAAGCTGCTTGATTGATGCTGATCAGCTGGGGTAGAACTGGTTGGAGTTTGCTCACCAAAATTTTACTGATATATTTGCTGAACACATTGTTAAGGCTTATGGTTCTGAAGTGACTCCAACGGTTTTTAATAGAGTTCTTTGGAATGAAAACAATTGAAGAAGCATTTAAGTAATTAGGGAGAGGGTGGCCTTTGAAAAAGTGTTGAATAGCTTGTATAGTCTCCACCACCTTGATCTCCCGCCAAGCTTTTTTGTAGAAGTCTGCAGTAAATCCATCAGAACCAGCTGATTTACTGCTGTCAATGGACAACAAGGCTTTCTTAATCTCCTCCTCCTCAGGAATATCAGTAAGCATCAAATTAGCAGTAAACTGTTTACTTTCTGAAAACAAGTGTTTATCTATATGTCCTCTATCAATAGTATCATCCTTCATGAGTTGTTGGCAATCTAACACAACACTTTCAGCAATCTCCTCCTCCTTCCTAATCCAGTTACCATTCTGATCTTTAATGCAGTGAATTGTGTTGCATTTCCTCTGGTAATTGATGCAGGCATGATAGAATTTTGTGTTTTTATCCCCTTCAGTGAATTTAGTTTTGGAAGCTTTTTGTTTAAGGAACTGGTCTTGCCAGTTTATAGCAGCAAGAACTTTCTCATTAGCCTCTAAAAGGGAATTCTCATCAATATTTTCTTTGCTGTGCTCCTCCCCCAGAGTCTGCAACTCCTGTTCAGCCTTATCCACAGCCTTCATCAGATCTCCAAAAGTGGTCCAACTCAACTTTTTGAGGGCATTACCTACCTTTTTTTGCTTTTGCCACAAGCAGGTGAAAGGGTCAGGATGTGACTCATTTTTATAGTTCTCCTTACCCACTTGCAAGAAGTCCTTGTGTTGTGACCATACATTTAAGTATCTAAAAGCACCCTTCTGACAACAGCTTTTTGGGCCAATGGTGATAACCAAAGGTCTGTGATCCGATCCAGCAAGGCTTAAATGTGTTATAGTAGTCTGCAAAAAGTTTTGGATCCAGTGATCATTTGCTAAGACTATATCTAGTCTTTCCCGGAGGTTCTTCCTTCTCCATGTGAAGGCAGGTCCACTGTATCCCATATCAAATAAACCAGTGCTTTGAATGTTGTCATTGAAATTTGACTTGATGACAGAATTGGGGGTTCTACCCCCCCTCCTTTCAGCAGGTGCTGAAATACAGTTGAAGTCTCCTCCCACAATCCAAGCTTTATCAATAGAACCTTGAATGTGCTGAAAGGTCTCCCACAACTCAGTTCTAGCTGTTTTGGAGCTTCCTGCATAAACAAAAGAGGCAAATCCATCAATTCCTTCAGTACTGATGTTCATATGAAGAATTTTCTGATGGTTAACTAAGATAGAGCACTTCATTTCTTTCCTGCAGAAAACCCAAATTTTGTTATTGAGGTTAGTGAAGAGACTAAATCCAGGAAACATTTTTGCTATGTTCTTTGTGTTAACATGAACCATGGGTTCCAAAATGGCTAAGCACCAGAATTTGTATTTTTTATTTAGATATTTTAATCTTTTTAAGGATAGGGGGTTTGCAATCCCCCTTATATTCCAACATAGCATGTTGATCATGGGGAGGGAGGGCAGATGGAGGGTTGGGAGGAGGGTTGGGATCTGGATCTAGTCCTTCCCCTTAGTTTGCTTCCTCTTCTTAGGGTACTATGATCTTCCATTAAGACTA